GGTGTTCGAATGCAGGTCAGTCACCCTGCTTTGTGTCCTCTCTGTCCTGTGGAGCCGTGGCTTCACTTGGGCTTTGAAGGAACCGAACCAGGACTCCTAAGGGTGTCGGCCCAGTGTCCGCTGGACAATGTCCTCTGCCACTTTCCCACAAACAAAGCTGGTGTGTCAAATCTGCAACAGACCTTCCCCGGCCCAGCTTCCCCGTGAGTTCCCCGCTTCCATGTGCAGCCTCCCCACCGGCCCTTGCTCAGCCGTGGGAAGAGGTCTGGGCTAACTTCTTGAAGCAAGAGAAATGAGGCTCCGGTGAGCAAAGGCAGGGCCCACTGACCTCAGCCACCATTGGCCAGCGCCTGCCTGCCCTCCTGGGGTCCACGAGGAACTACCTCATCCCAGGCAGCCTTTCCCTGCCACGCTGCTGACCCAGGGCCTTTCCCACATCTGGCAGTGACAGCAGCATTCGCACACAGCCCGCCCCTGCAACAGGAGCGCTGGGCCTGCCCAGTCCTGTGCCCAGGCCTCTGTCCAGCTGCCACTCCTCGGCTGCATTCTCCGAGCAAGGGAGGGCGTCCGTCGTCCACAGACGTTGCCACGGCCATGCAGCCACCAGGCCCTGCCCCTGTGCCGTCACCTCTGTCTGCCCGTCCTGCACACTGCCCCCGTGGCTCTGCATGGCCTGGCCACAAGACGGACTTGGGAGTGGGTGTTTGGTTCTTTTTCTGTTTTGCTGCAGCTCTCAAAGCAGCACTCAGCACATGAGCAGCACCTGTCAGTAGCTGCCAGGTAGACAGTATATGACCACTTACGGCATTTTGTTTTCACCTTTTAATAAAGATTAAATACCACCCTCTTCACTTTCAAGCACCCTACTTCTATAGAAAAATAAAACAGCATAATTGGAGAATACCAGTACTTGGTGCTTCACATACCAGTACTTGGTGCACGGCCTTCACACACTCACAAGAACAGCCAGAACGTTAGACACCTTGGTCTGAGGCAAGACTCTGACAGAGGAGGAGCAATCAAATAAAATGACAGAAGTTTTCAATGAAAATCAAAGAAACTCATAGCATAAGTGAAAACAACACACATCTTAAGATTTTTTTGAAACAATGGAACAGATGCTCCCAACCTCCAGATAGAAAGCTGATACGTTATCCAGTGCAAAGAACTAAAACCTAAAGCTCAGAAACCAAGTGGCTGGGCGCAGCGTACACGTGTAAGGCTAGAAAAGTGAATCCTGAGTGCAGCCCTGGCCCCCCTCCAGAGCTTGTGCACCTCGGCAGAAGGGCCTGGGCTCCCTGGGCCTGGGTGGGAGGAGGCGGCCTGGGAGTGGCATGGGTGAAAACTGTCCCCAGAGTGCATCTTTAAGAAGAGCCAAACCCAGGGCTGGCCAGGTAGCTCCTTGGGTTAAAGCGCCAGACACAGGGGCCAGGTTCAATCCCTGGCATGCCATGCCAGCCCCGCCCCCAGGGCATGCTGAGACGGCAACTGAGACTGGGCGTGGTGGCACTCGCCTGTGATCCCAGCTCTTGGAAGGCTGAACACAGGCGGATCACCACAGTCGGACCTAGTAGTGAGAACCTATAGACCCTGTACTAAAGTACAAAGAGCCCAACCCAAAGTACTCAGAGAGGCGGTACCTCTGCCCAGAAGAGGCCATGTGAGGGAGAAGTGGCGGCCGCCACGCATCTGTGTGTCCCGGGACGCAGCGGCCTCAGGTGGCAGCGTGGAAGCTCTGCCCTTCTCTGTGATCTCTTCCTGTTTCCCAATATCAGAGACTGAGAAGGAGAAAGCAAAGACTCACAGGTGGACTCAGCAGGAGTCTGCAGGGCAGGGCTCCAGCCCATCTGGGGCATCTCAGGCAGACGGGGCCGTGGCTGGGGCCCCTGGACGGTCTCCAGGTCCCTGCAAGCCCAGCCTTGCTGCTCTGCCCCCTAGTGCCCTGGGCAGGATGTGCCCTCGCCCGCTCCTGGAGGCGCTCCCACGGCACCAGCGGCCATCTCCTTGGGGACAGGAGCACTTTGCTTCTGACATATTCCTAACCCTGAGTGCGCTCGCTAAACTTGAGGGTTCAAAGGAGCAGTTTATTTTCACCGGTGTAAGTCACAGCACATACTGACTACCCTCCTCAGGTATGCCCCGAGTGGGGCTCTCGAAGGGATTCTGGGGTCCCCATGTTTACCTGGGAAGATGGGGAGCCCTATTCTCAGGCCTTTGGACAGAAGCAGGCTCGAGCTTTGTGCTACCAGGCTGGGAGCCATTTCCTTGTTGCTCTGTGGCTTTGTGCAGTGGCTCCCTGGGGCGCCACCCACTGAGCTGCATCCCCGGCCGTGCCTAGTTGTTTGCTGAGGCGCAGTCCTGCTGAATTGACTGGGCACTGCCCCCAGCCTCAGTGAGCCACTGGGATTCCAGGTGTGCGCCAGCCCCGTGTCCTCGTTCACTGTTCTCCCTGCTCGTGGCTGGGATGGGGAACAGGCAGCAGAGTGGCCCCCCTCCTGGGTCCTGCCCTTCCCTTCCAAAGCAGCAGCTGCCTTGAGCTGAACCACAGGAGAGGGACTGGCAGGAGCCGGGAGAGGGGCGGCTCCAGCCTGGAGGTCTGGGTAGTGACACCCGGTGAGTGTGCGGGCTCTGTGGGCTGCGGTGGTGTGTGAGTAGGCAGAGGAGACGGCTTCATTTCCCTAAGCTAGCAGAGCCTGGGGACAAGGGTACCGAGATTCATGAGCCAGGCATCGTGGACAGCGGGCACAGAGCCGTTCGTGCTGCCACAGAGCCTGTGCAGTGACTGCGGAAGGTGAGGCGTGCAGCACTCTGAGCAAGGCCCCAGGGTCCCCGATTCCCTGGTGCCACCTCCCCAGGGGTCCCCGAGGTTGCCGCCCAGTAGCTGCCGGGTGGGAGGAACTGCTGCATGGGTCTGGCTGGGCTTGGCTAGGACCTTGGCAGGTACCTGCCTCGCAGAGGCCTTCACCAGGAGCACGGGGACTTCTGGGGAGGAGGCAGGATGCGACGGGGGTGGGGTGTGCACCCATGCACCCCGTGGAACAGGTTCTTCTGGGCCATCCCTTGAGCGGGGACACGTGGCCCATGGCTGTGTCTCCTCCCCTCACCAGCTGCCTCCACCCGCCTGACTGTGTGTTCCCCCAGGAACATGTTCTAGAAGGTCTGCTTCCTGTGTGGGGCTCCCACACCGCACCGCTCGGCTCCGTCCCTCCCAAGCCCGCCAGGCCAGGCACTCGGAAGAGCTGCCCCTGCACTGGCCCCCGCGTGTGAGGTCACTCAGCGTGAGAGAGCAGTCTGCTGAGCTCACCGATGTCAAGGCAGAGAGGGCTGAGGGACGCGCTCAGGGCCGCAGGAAGGCTGCGGGCGGGCGTTGGAGCTGCTCTGGCCCTGGCCCTGGACGCAGACATCTGCAGGAGGCAGCGCATTGGGCAGGGAGCCCGGCCAGTTGTCATGCCCATGCAGGGGGCCAACCCTGCCCGAGAGCAAGCCCCACCCCACCCGGTGCAACGGCAGGGAGCCCACTGTGGAGACCACAGGGGCCCTGTAGCTGCTGCTTTGTGCTCTCCCCACCAGCGGGGACCGGAAGTGCCGTGATCACCGTGCAGGCTGCGGAGCTGCACAGCTTCCAAAGAGCAGTGGCTGAAAGGATCCAGCCGCCACAAGGAAGGCAGCCCAGTGCAACTCAAGAGAAGGCTCAGAGTCTTTGTCTTAGGGTGCCGTGGTCCCCGAAAGCCTTCCTTCTCACCTGGAGTTAGCAGAGCACACAGGCCAGGACAGCCCAGTGTCCACTTTGAGGCCAGCTGCATGGGACTCGATTGTCCCCATGGTCCCCGCTGGGTGGCCCTTTTGGCTGAGGGATTCTGGGCTGTGGACGGGACTGTGCACAGCAGGAAAGTGGGCAGTGGCAGAGTCTCTCTGAGGTCTACATTATGTATTTGTGCTGGAGTGATGATTTTAAAAGGAGCTCAAAAATTGATCAAATCAGTCACACCAGTCCATGTGCCATCCTTTTGGGGATTGTTATCACCCCGAGGCCACCTTGCATCACCCAGCAGGTGTGCGAGGCCGCCTCTGGCTTTCCTTGCCCGCCACTGCACTTGGGGTTGGTCTGGAAGTCTTTTTTTATTCTGAAGGGCTCTGGCTGCAGAGCGGACCCCAGGGCTGAGGGCAGGATGCGTAGTTGTGAGTCTCGGCAAGCAAAATGTCGGCCTCCTTTCCCTGTATGTGAAATGCTGGTTTATAGTGCCTGCCTCATGGTGTTGCGGTCAGCGTACGCGGTGTGTGTCCAGGCAGTGGAAAGAGCCTGGTGTCAGCCGATGGGAATTCACTCCCTAGAGTCAGGCAAACCCTGACCCTGCAGGAGTCTTGGCTCCTGGCGGCGAATGCCACTGTGGCATCCCAGGAGAATACCTGCCACAAGCTGTGTGCCTCGGTGGCCCATAGGAGGCCATGGGATCTGACGCTGTGTCAGGGAGACCCGAAGGCCACGGTGCCACTCACCTGAGATGCCAAGAGACGAGGCAGCATCGCAGCCCTGGGAGGCCGGAGGAGACCTCCCCTCTTCCAGCCCATATCCCGGGCAGCAAGAGTGTTGGCACAACGCCATGGGCACAGGATAAGCACAGTTCAGAGGGAAACGTGGTGCAGGGAGCAGGCGCATTTTGAGCCGCTGGGCAGGGGTGGCTGTCCCGTGGGTCTCGCCTCGTCCGTGCAGGTCACTGCTCCCCTCTGACATGAGAAGGAAACCTCACAAAGCCAGTCAGTGAGCACAGAGTGGGAAGCACTGGGACCAGGCCCTTGAGGAGGAGCCTCCCGAGTCCTGGGGCTGGCCCTGCGGAGCGGGGGCGGGACGCGCGAGAATGTGGTAAGCTCGTGCAGGGCACACGGGGCCAGGCCCGGGCACTCAGCGTGCGGGCCTGGGTGCCAGCGTGGGACTGCCACCGTCCCTGCTGTGCTGATCCCGTTTCTGGGCTGCTGCTAAGACTGCACTCTCTACTTCACAGGGCAGCAGGTCCTGGGCTTGGTGGAGAACCAGAGTGACTGGTACCTGGGAAACCTGTGGAAAAATCACCGCCCATGGCCGGCGCTCGGAAGGGGCTACAACACAGGTAAATCCAAGGTGCTGCGGGCAGGGGGTGAGTTGTGACAGGGCCAGACGTGCCTTGCCTTGGAGAGAAGGTGGGCGACATCGAGGTCCTTTCCTAGCTGGAGCTGGCACGTTGGCGAGCCCTGGCCCCTTTGCCTGTGGTTTCTTTGACCGTTGATGTGCGTTGCACAGGCGGCAAAGCAGCCACGGCTGTCCCGTTGTCCCAGCAGCGTCGGCTGATTCTCCTCAGCCCGCTCCTGTGTGCTCTGGTCTATTGGGATCAGGCTCCTCCCATGTGGGTCCCAAGAGTGTGCTGGGGACACGACAGTCCCCAGGGCTCCTAAATCTCCAGCTCCTTCTTCACCGGCTGAGGTCACGTGGCCATGTGCCTTCCAGCCCCAAAGGCACTGGGCGCCAGCACCCCACCACATGCCCGTCGGAGCAAGGGCAGCACCTTTGGCAGAGCTCTTGGCCCTTCCGACACACGGCCCTCAGACACCCTGTGTCTGCGCAGGGTCCTGTATTCCGCTTGCTGCGGGTCCCTTCTCTCATCTCCACCTGCTTTCCAAGTGCTCTGCCCAAAGGCTGTCCGGTGGCCACACCGCACTGTGAATGGCCACTAGAGCAATGTGGCCTCTGCCCCCACGGCCACATCCCTGCTTGCTGGTCTCTTGAGGCCTCTGGGTCACTCGCCCCCCTTCCAGCCTCATTGCCGTGCAGGGGAGCTCTGTTCTCCAGGGAAGCAGTCTCAGGGTCTCATCAGGGTTCTAACCTGGAGCCCAGGAGCTGTGGGGAAGCCAGGGACGGCGGGGCCTGGGCCTGGGGACAGCAGCCATGAGATGCTGTGAAGGCCAGTTCTGGGAGCTGGTGGTCAGAGCCCAGAGAGCTCAGGCATGAGCACAGCGGCCCCGAGACCACAGAAGGAGGCGGTGGCCGTGCTGTCTGAGCGGAGCGCTCAGAGAGGCCACATGAGATCAAGGAAAGGAAGCCCAGGGCCCGTCCCACACAGCCAGCCGAGGCAGCAGGAGCCTGTGTGACACTACCCTGGGAGGGGACAGTGCTCCACGGATGGTAGTGGGCGACCCCGCCATGTGGAAACTGCACATCCCAGCGCTTCTGCTGGCCCCACTGTGTCTGGAGTCTGAGGGGTCCCGGGGAACCCCGCGGGGGCAGCTGAGCAGGGCAGAGGCTGAGCTCCCTGGCAGGGAGGGAGGCAGCACTGCGGTCACAGGGCGGCGCCTGTGGCCGGCGCATGTCACCCAGGCACCAGGCCCCTTGTGGGGCAGCATCAACCTCGCGTGACCCCGTGAAGCAGGCGCTGTGCTCTCTTGGACCAGTGGACACAAGCCCTGAGAGCAATGGCCTCGCCTCGTGAGTGAGGCAGCCTGCATCTCTCCCCAGAGCTCCCTCTTGAATGGTCGCAGCTTCTGGCTTCAGCTCTTTCAACAAGGCGCCTGGCTCCGTGGTGGTTCTGGAGCAGTCTCCAGGGCTGAGTGAGGCACAGGTGGGCCCGCAGGGTGCAGACACGGGGAGCTATCTCCCAGTGTGCGTTAGGCAGGCCCTGGAGAGCCCGCGGTGGCCAGAGCGAGTGGCAAAGCTCATGGCCCCCACGTGGCAGGGCTGGCCACCCAGGCTTGGGAGGTGAAGGGACGCCTCAGAGAAACCCACTGCATGCATCCGGCCTCTGTCTCAGCTTGCAGAATAACAGGAAAAGCGCACACAGCGCCCTGAGGAGCCGGAGCCAGCACCACGGTCACCAGCCTGTGAGGGTAACTGTGCTGCTCCCTCTGGCTGCAAGCCGGGGGATGGAAGGCCTCCAGCTCCAGCTGGACGCCCAGGGCTGCAAGCGGCTCCGCCTGCCGCTAGAGGAGCAGTGGACAGGCCAGCAGCACCGAGTGACCGTCGCGACACTGGAGCACGTGGCTCTCGTGTCAGGCTTGGCTATTTTAGGCCCAGCCTTGGGCCACACATGGGCAGATGAGTCACCAGACCTTAAGACCCGAGGACTCTGCCGGAGGGAGGGACCCTGCCATGCCAAGCCCAGCCACATGAGTGTCTGAGAGGGCTCTTCCACAGACCCCTGCGCCTTCCATGCCCTCCAGGGAGGCCAGGGCACAGGCAGGAGCAGCTGCCCTGGCCACGGGCCGTTGCCTGTTCAGCTGTGGCTCGTCCCCTCATGAAGCTGATGACATTCAGTGGGGACAAGCAGTGAGCAAGTTCGCTTGCCTGCTCCTCCTCATGTCTTGGTCTCAGACCCCCACACTTTCATACCACGAATTCAGGCTGGAATTGGATCCAGCCTCCTCAACAAGCTCTGTGTGCCCAGCCTTGCTGAACTCACCTTAGCCCAGGGGTCAGAAAGATCCAGGAAGTTGTTCTTTTTTACCTGTGTAGAATGCAGCCATCTCTTCCACTACTGGGAATAAAAGTTGCCTTTTCATATTACTTAGGAGAACCCGCCTGCTTTAGTTCACGTGTCAGCATCCCGGCCGTGCCTTACCTGGACAATCCCAGGAAGCATGCGCTACGCAGGGAGCTGCGTGCCCTGAGCCCTGACCCTGGCGCTGACCTCTGTGCCTGCTGGGAGCCCCGCTGTGGGGCACGGGAGCCGGGCGCAGCTTGTGCTTCTCTTCCTGTGTGCAGCGGTCTGCACGCAGGTCAGACCCCACCGTGGGCACAAGCACCCGCTGAGCAGCGGCATCCTGCCGCCCGCACCCCCTGCTGCCCGCGCCCCCTGCTGCCCGCGCCCTGCATCAGCCTGCAGAGTGGCCATTCCCTTGCAGGATCCGGGGAGGCACCCACATGTCCTCTTCGTTTTTCTTTCACAAGCCAGTGTCCCGGAGCAAGTCCAGCAGAGCTGCCCTGGCCGCCCTGGCCCTCCCGAGCTGCTCGAGCTCCCTTTCATCGGAGCAGAGCTGCAGGAGGCGGAAGCCATGGGTGACTTGAGGCACCGCCTCGCCCCTCCACAGGACGTCCACTCCTGACACAGTGTCCACACCTCACTTCCCGGGGCTAGGAGCTGTCACTCCACTGGATCTGCTGTCAGCAGGATTTAGGCCAACGGCGGGTGTTGTCAGCTCATTAAGATTCAACTCACTGCAGTCCGGGAGCTGATTGATGGGGGAATATCTGGAAAAACAAATGGCGGAGAAGGAGGGGAAGGGAAGAGGACTGAACGCAGGGACGATGGGATGAGTGAGGGCGGCAGGCCCAGAGGAAGAGGCACGAGTCCAAGGTCACAGCAGGACCCCACTGCGCCCCAGGGAGGCCATTCCTCCAAGGGCACCGTCACATTACTTGGAGGAGGTACTTTCAAAACAACTTGAAACACAGAATATGTCCTGCTCCTGTTGGACTGCACAGTAGTCGGAGATGGGCAGTGGAGGTCTGGCCCTTGGAGGGGAGGACTCTCTCCAGGGAGCCTCACCCATGGAGCAGCAAGACCGAGTGTGCAGGGAATGGCTTCGCTCTGTGTGGGACAGCCCATGTCTCACAGGCATGCGGCATGACAGGGCACAGGACCATGAATGCCATGACAGGGATTCAGGAGAAAACCATTGACAACTTGCCAGAGAGCTGCGCTGGGAGCTCTGGAGGGATCTGTATGTACAGGTTCAAGAGCAGCCTGAGCCCAGTGCTGCCTCTGTCCAGCCGGGCAACGTGGTACACTTTTGTAATCCCAGCGCTCAGGAGGGTGGGACAAGAGGATCGCGGTGAGTTCAGCACAGCCTGAACTGCCGCGAGACTCTGTCTCAAAAAAAACCTAGAAAAGAACAGAGAGCTCCTCATGCCCTGAAAGAGTGTCATGATGCTTCTGTCTGTAGCGTCCAGACAGACTCAATTTAAATGTAGTTCGTTTGTTCATTCATTCATTCGCCGATCTGTTCGTTCATAGTGTAGCTCATTATTTAGTACTTGCTGCTAAGTAGCTCTCATTCTGGCAAGCTTAAGGTAGGAAAATACTTTATTTTAGAGGACAGATACCAGAAACCTTCCTTAAAAAATATTACTGTGCAGGAGAAGGGAGTTTGCCGTTCCCAGAAGAGTTTCCTGGGCCTTGAGCCTCACAGGGCCTGCATTCAGGGCTGGGCCCCAGGCTGCAGTCCCGCCCGCACCAGCATGTCCTCACCAGGTCCAGGAGCCACCCAGGAGCGCAGAGTGCGATTCCAGTGCTTGCTTCCCTTGCCTAAAGTCACACCTGGCCCATGCTGTACGGCTGTCTGTTGTCAAGGAAGTGGGGGGCGACAGTAGTACAGCACAGCAGTTCTGAGAGGTGGGGGAAGCCTCCCCACCTGGGGATGCGGGGGTCTCTTGCCCCAGCCACAGGGGTCTCCTGACCAAGTGCGGGGTGCCGGGGCTGCTGCATGCTGTGGAGCGGCATCCAGGCAGAGCCAGCTATTGGCTGCAGGCTGGCACAGCATGGCAGTGTCGTCTGTGTGGAGTCCCATGGACACATGCGCACATGCACGCGCGCACACACAGCCCCCGTGCGCCGCCAGCCGCTGCAGCTCATTCCAGCTTTCTGCTTTCCACACGCACAATCACCCACTTCTCTCCCTGCTTGCATTTCCTCTGCATTGTTATATGCTCTATTTATGTAAAAATGAAATATGGGGTATTCTTGTGAATTAATATAAACAGGTATGCTTTCTCTTTTTGAAGAATTGCTTCGGTTTTCCATTTGATAGATGCACCATAATTATTTCATTTCCTAATAACTGTTATTTTAGCTGATCGTAAGTCTTCCATTAAAAATGATGCCAGACATCCTTCTTACTCTTGTATTTCCAGCAAGTACCGATAGACAGTAGATTCTAAGGAGTAACACTGCTGTCTCAAATGCTGGACACCTTAATGTTGGTAGATCAGAAACTACCAAAAGTGCAAGTAGTTAAAAATAGACGCAGTATTTTAAAGCAGCCATTTTGAGATGAGCCTCCTGTATGTGTGCACTCGTGTGCAATTCTAAGCTCTTGGGCTTCGTGCACACGTGGTCGTGCCTGTGCTGGGCCCGCATTGTGT